TTTTATTGCAATATTATTTGGGCTTTGTTTGCTGGCCTTTAGTTTCCTCAAAGTAAGACATTACGGATCACGTATCTTAAAATTTTAAAAAGTTTTCGTTATTTTCGTTATTTTGTCTCTTTGTTTTGATCTGGTAATTCAGAGGCATAAGGCCAGGCGTCCACTGATATGGAGCCGATATAGACTTCTCTGACGTTTGTGAGATGCACAAGTTTAGTGCAGAACTTTGAGTAAATTATAAGTATTAGTGCAAGAAAACCTTTGAATTTACCCAAAGTTCTGCATTAAACTTGTAAAATTCACAAACGTCAGAGAAGTCTATGGCATCGTACAACATGTCAAAACATTATGTCGAAGTCGTGTGGCGTGTGGCGAACGTCGACATGATGTGGTGACATGCTAGCAGATGCCACACCTTCACCACTTCAGTGGGCTCATTGACTAAGAACCGCTAAACCGACAAAAAGCAGACCATAGGCGGAATATTTCAGTTGTTTTGTATCATATAAGTTTTCTAAACGTGGATCCAGACATTACGTTAAAAGGTAAAAAAGAAAAAAATATACTTCTTGAATGGTGATATGCTGGTAATAATGTTTAATCTTGTTTAAAGAACACCAACACGTTATTTTTTTAACTCACACGCTTACTTTAAATTTATATAGCAAATTCCTATTCTATCCCGCCGTTATTTTCATTGTTTAGTTATATTTTACATCTTCTATTTAGTTCCAAAATTCAAAGCTCTTTCAAATTTCAAAAATGTATAGAAACAAAATTCGAGATGGTTTCGCTCGAAGAAACATTCTATTCGAGGAAAACAAGTTTATGGGATACGATTTACAATAAATGTCGAAAAGCTGATGAATTTAGTACATCAATAGAATGTGTGCTGCTGCAAGGAGGATAACATTTTATTTACATATATAGTATATAAAATATGTCAAATGGCCACCCGCATAAACGCGAACCTTAACTTGACCTTACCAAAAATGGTTAAAAAATCGTTTATAATCCCTGCTAAACTTTACCCGAAATGGTTATGAAACTTTACATGAACTTTTGGGTGATAAAATTTTAACCTTATGTATTATGGTTTTTTGAAGTGGACCTTAAAAATGAAAGGTTGTTAAGAACCATTACCATTCAAAATAGTTGTTTATTCCATACATTTTCGGAAAGAAAACTATATCAGAACCTTTTTACTTATGGTTTAATGCGAGGTTTAATGGTTCTTAACAACCAGTTATTTGTAAGGTCTTGTTCTTAAAGCCATAATACATAAGGTTAAAACTTTATCGCATAAACGTTCATGTAAAGTTTCGTAACCATTTCAAATAAAGTTTAGCGGGGATTATTAACAATTAGCTTCGGACTTCATCAATTCAGTGACAGCCAGACATTTGAGGATTGTGGATCGAATATTATTAGCAGCCCAACAAAGCAAACAAAAATTAATATCGATCAACGTTATTCATGCTGACGTATGAAAAATGTATGTAGGTATAATAACAAAAAGCAGATACAATATTACATCCATGTATGTTAATTTGTTTGCAAATTTTCTGTGCATCGTACAACGTAAAATTACACAACCAGTCGAATGACCTATGTGCACGATGACGTCAGCACCACAGCTTTGACGGTTCAGAGAGCTTATTTACATGGACTTGGACCTCTTTTGGTGGTTTCGCTATGAGTGTTTGTATCGCACATTGCGTGATAAATCCAAAATTGGTGGCTATCTTACTTTTACTACTTATTCAAGCACTGCTAAACTGTCGGCTACTTTATATCACAGATTCACAAATATTACTTTAAACCACATGAACTTGACAGTTAGCATTTGTTTATTTCACGCGGACAATTTTTAATACGTTTTTACATGGTGGCTATCTTCACCTGCGCGTTAAAACCGCCGTCAGACTAGGATTTATTGTAAACAGTGTCAGAATTGAAACCTTACAGCTGAAGGAAATTCTACATGAGAATTTTTATACTAAAACCGGAATAACCCACTAGCGACAATCGATTTTTTTTTCTCATTCTGTACGTTAAACATAGTGTCGGAAAGAGTGCGCTGTATAACGCATCATTGTGCGATGACGCCGCACTACTTCCGATACTTGTTTAACTTACAGAACGAAAGTAAAATCAATTGTCGCTAATGGGTTATTTCGGTTTTCAGCTGTACCGATAGTATAAATCGAACAAGACGGTCGCGTTTATTTCTCGTCCGATAATCAATTCTTACACTTGGTATACAAAGTCTCTGAACTGTCAAAAAACTTAGGATAAATCTTTCCGTGCATAAAATATCTACAAAATGTTTGATGAAGGTTTTGTGGATGCCATTGGGAGAATTTTGTTTATTCAATTTATTTATTATTTCAGAATAAACTAAATTCTCCCAATGGCATCCACAAAACCTTCATCAATATTGTTATATTTTCGATATATATTCATGTACTGTTTTATGACCGCAACTCGCTATCATAAAAATACACATCAACATCCTGGTTTGTTCAATGCGTTTCTGTGTTTGTTGTTGTTGAACAATATTGTAAATTAAGCACTCAATCGAACAGAATAAAGTTGTCGCCATAGTAAGGCGGTTTTGTGAGGCAAGGCGATTTGAAATGACGGAAAATAAATAAAAATGAACTAAGTGTAACGCACAAATAACGAGTGACAGATATACTTCCACCAGCAGTACAGTGCTATTGCTTCGGAGATAGGTACTCTTACCACATGAAAACCCAAACTGATATAGTAAAATCTTACTTCATATTGCACTGCAATGTTTTTTTTTATATTTCCAATATTTCCCCACGATACGGAAATGCTCACTACATTGAAGATAATGCCTTTTCCATAAGCCAAAACCAGTTGTCCACTTGCGGCCATCATACAAACTATCATAATTATGTAAATTTCTTAAGTGTCTTAGATATTGTGCATATAGCACCGCATTAGACTCTTGTACTAAAAATAATTGCTTATATACTGTTGGCACATGTCTGACAAAGAACATACATTGCTCAATTTTGTCTATGAAAGCGATATAATAATGCTATTATGCTATTCCCCCTTATTCTGCGCCGCGCGTGAGGTGAGGTAACACGCTGTCAATAGTGATGTAACAAAAATCACCGCGAGTGAGGTGACTCTCCGTGCAAATCAAATAGAGAATCACCTCAATAACGGTGACTATTGTTACCTCACTAGTTACAGCGAGTCACCTCACCTCACTCGCGGCGCAGACTAGGCCTCATTATTCTATCATGTAACTATTAAGCCGAAATGATGCATGTACTTGGCATAAAGTATCTTTCATTCAAAACTTTCTTTTTTACTGTTTTAAGCAATTATCTTTAGCGCAGAGGGTGAATGATCAATCGTTTGGAAGTTATTTTTTAATTTAATCTATACGATTTTTAACAGGAAAACTCGTGTTTTTATATGTAGTATCGAGGTCCTAAAAACACGTAGGGTAAAAGTACCTATAGTGGAGGTACGTTAGTGTAATAAGTTTGATAAATAAAAGCATTTTACAATTTCTCGTCCATACTATACCAAGTGAAATTTTGAAATTTGTATTATTTTGATGGCTGCAAAAGGGCAACGTTTTTGGTTTGCACATTTTGCTCTTATGCTTTGCATCTCTTGCCCGCTTGCTCTCTCAATTTGCAATCAGTATCATTGTCGTTATGATTCTAGACGACAAAATGCTCTTGGGTTTTTTTCCTTTACTTATACATCCGACGCCAATTCATAACCGAAGATATAAGCTTAAACTGAAATTAAAATTAAGAGAAATAATCTAAAACTATAAACACAAATCTACTAGTAATGAATTAGTATGAAAATGGTAACTAAAATTGTCCAAAGTTCAAATTTACCAAAATAATTCAGCTGCCGCATGAGTATAGAATGTTTGAAATTTAAAGAATGTTAAGTAACTGACCAACCTTATCCTTACTAAGAAATTAAAAGCTTTAACAAGAAATATTCATGATTACATCCTTCAAATATGTTTCGTTTGTCCTTGTAACGCCTATCACTTTTAATGATATATAAATATTATTTAAATCCATCTTTTGACCCTTATAACTGTTACACTTTTCCCTAACTTCCAAAAAGAATATCGACTATGTCCAGTGTTATGTTTATAATAGTGAACATTAATTGGATTAACGTTCGTTGTATTATTTATGTTTCTATTTCGACATCCTCACTTTTGGATTTACCTCCTGCTCATCTCACGCACATCAATTATTCTATCAGCTACCACTACCAACTGCACTGCAGTATTGTTTTTGTTTAACATTTTTTTAATTTTGCGAAATTAGATCATTGGTTTAATTTTATTAAACTCAACGATGGACTATTTACTTCCACTTTGTGTGCATGTACGTGTGTTGTGAACTGCCAATTCTGATTTCATGATTTGGTAACTTTTGACTATGTTGGTGTATAAATATATGTATTGGTACTTTCAAAACTCAAATAAGTTTGAAAAGGCCATAATAAGAATGAATCAATAGAAATAGTAAGGATAACAAATTAAGCTGTTTTAACGATAAGAGAAAACAAAGAAAAGTTAACATGTTAATAAGTTTAAGAAACAAAAAAAGATAGAAAAGCGATCATCTGAAGATCTTTCGCTTAAAAACTTGACGGGACACTCCACTCGAGCGAGAGTGTTGTTCGTTATTGATTCCGCAAATGTTTTATAGGAGGGGCGTCTCAGTTGCTGCCGACCGCTACCAGGATAACTAATCATCGATGCTGGTGTGTGCGCATATGTAAGACTAAGTTATGCTTGTGTTTCGACTTCTTGTGACATACTGGACACTCGAACTTGGGCTCAACGCCGCACTCAAAGCGAATGTGTCGATTTAGACTATGCGGGCGCGCATAGGAGTTTCCACACCTCGAACATGTATACGCACCACCGATCGAGGAAGGCACTGTTGGAGGCGTTGTTATGTTGATACCTTTGAAAATGGGTACAGGCAGGGGACTACTGCTAGTACCGCCAGCATTGGCTACTGCTGCAGCTGCAGCAGCCGCTGCCGCAATCAAATCTCGTTGCTGTGCCGATGATTCGGCAGCAAATTCGCGCAGATAATTAGGTGTCAGTAATCTCAGATCACAGGGCTGATCGTCTATTGGCGGTTGTGGTTGCTGCTGATGAGTTCCTGTTACTATCACTTCACTATGGATTACCGTCGCTTCACCACCACCCGGGCCGCTAGGTGTTGAGGGACCTGCAGATACAGAAACTGAATAATGGAAGTAAAAATGAGGATCAGTATAGCGGAAGGGTATTTCAGATATCAGATGTATGCGTGTTTGTATGTGTTCAAGGGCAACATTTAGTTTTTGCTTGCGTTTTTCTTCAACATCACAGCTTTATGAAACTGTAACCTTTCAAATTTTCAAATTAAATAATATCATTTAGAATTGTTTCTACAAAAAATCCTCAACACCATTGAAAAAGCTTACAGTTTCCGTTCGATGGTTGGTATAAAGCGTTCGATTGTTTCTCATTCCTTTATGAAGTGATTTGCAAGGTGAATTTTTATTGAATAATAATTTTAATTTGTTTTTTTTTTGTATGCCTACACACACTTACAACAGTGAATATTAAGTATAACGACATTTATAACGACAAGTGGTTAATATTTTTGTTTCGTTAAAATACAGCAGCATTGCGTAATATAGAATGATATGTAAGAAATAATTATTACCACCACCAAGTATGATGTTCACAGAAATACGTCACTTTTTAAAAGAGAAAGTGTATATTCAAATATGAAGTGCCTCTATTTACGCATAAATAATAAACATAACAAAACTATTGCTTATTTATTGAATCGGTTGGGAACGTCGTTCTATACACATAATTTGTATAATACTCTCACTTAGGTATTGAGAACATAGATTACGGGAATCTAAAATTTGCTATCACAAGACGTGTCATCAACCGCAATCAACCGTCATTCCTTCTTTGCCAAGTTCATGAACAAAAATCCTTTCGTTTTTTATGCAACATTTCCATCTCGTCGCACATAGGTAAAGTTTACCCGTCACCTAAAAAGAAACACACATTAATAAAAAATCTTTATTAGACCAAACTGTTTTATTTATTATTTTATTTTTCTGCCCGGGGCATTGATCCTGGTTTATAGAACTTCTACAAGAAATTATTTTTTTGATGTTTTTTAGCAAGCATAACGATACCCAGGGAAGTCGAAACAAAAATGTACACCGGATCAGCAATCGAACAAGCCGCCCAAGTAAAGATGTGCTTTATGACCATGTCGCTTTGCACTTGCGGCTATCAAGAGCCCCAAAATGACATGAGATTCGTGCTTTCTGGAATAAATGAAACTTGCAACAAGATTTATGTTTTATTTGCTTTTAAGATTCATATTTTTTCGGTTCTTTGCTGTTTTATACTAACGTTAAATTCTGTACGCAATTCTAATAATTAATTCATCTGTTCGGTATTACACTCAGGTTTTTTTACATGGTATTTTTGCACGATTTTTTTTTTACACTTTGTGAATAATGCGGTCCGTTTTTAACCCTTTCCTGCCTTAGTCCATACTAGACCTGCCCTGTTCAGACTAGGGAAGTTGTAAACATAATTATTATAACATATTACAACGGCTCCAGTGTAGACAAGGCATTAAGGTGGGAAGGCAACCCAATGTCTTAATACTTTCAAGACATATTGTTTTGTAGATTCTGTTATACCAAACCTCTTTAGGCTGGAAAGGATTAACAATTTTTAGAATATGTTACAAAGTTACGATCTTAATTCAGTCACATTATTCGTTTTGGGCTATGACAATCTTAATGGAGTAATTGTTCATGAATAACAACAAAAAACGTTTTTTGACAATAGCAGCTAAATTAGTATCAAAATTAAACATTTAATAAGATGTCAGCGTATGAAAATTCTCAACATTAATTGATTGTTACACGGCGCATATCCCCAGTGTTAAAATAAAACCTGAGTGTATTTATTGTATGAAAGATCTATGCAAGTATGTAGACTTCCTATCATAATATAATAGGTCAAAATGTATGATGGAGATATTTTTATACTGTTTTAACTCAAACTTTCACTGTTTTGTTATTATTCTATAATACATTAGTAATGAACTGTTAGGATCATATTTATTTTAAAACTGGACTTTTCCTTCATTTCTTTGTGTTTTTTTGTTTATATAGGATGTCACAATTTCAATTGAATCAATCCACCAAGTTCTTGACAGTACGTGAATTATCAGAATAAGTCCGAGCATTTATTTAAAGTATAATGTAAAAACAAAAAACAAATGACTAATGCTGACTTTGAAATGTTAAACCTAAACTTAAAGTTTATTAAGTACATCGACTAGATAAAGGTTTGACGCTTATAATTTACTATCAGGTTTACAATGCATAAAAAATTGATTATTTAAACGTAAACTTCAGCTTTGTTTTGCAAAACACAAAAAATGCATTATTCATATTCCCGAGTGTTATTACCTACCATATACGAGGTTACATGCAGCAAGTTTTGGTTTCCACGGCTTTATGAGTTTGTAGTATATGTATTAACCACATTTGAAATGTTCAAGGATATTCAAGCTAAGTATTAACACATCTGTTACAAGTAACCCCGTAATTGCAAGTAAGGGGCTGTCCATAAATCATGAAGACCTCTGTAAATGTATAGTGGCCAATCCCTCCGCCAGCTGTCAACGTGGTTTATGTACAGCCCTTAGCTTTTTGTATCGGCAAAGCGTTTTTGACGACATGCATATTTCACTACTGTGTTAGAACCGAAGCTTATTTATTCGTTATCATAACCTACATTTATCTTGTACAAGCTTTCTTCAGTGGAAGTTACTGCTTTCACATAAGATTAATATGGCAACAGAAAGTGTGTGTGTGCGTGTGCCTGTGCCTGTGTGTGTGTGTGCGTGTGCGTGTGCGTGTGCCTGTGTGTGTGTGTGTGTGTGTGTGTGTGTGTGTGTGTGTGTGTGTGTGTGTGTGTGTGTGTGTGTGTGTGTGTGTGTGTGTGTGTGTGTGTGTGTGTGTGTGTGTGTGTGTGTGTGTGTGTGTGTGTGTATGTGTATGTGTGTGTGTGTGTGTGTGTGTGTGTGTGTGTGTGTGTGTGTGTGTGTGTGTGTGTGTGTGTGTGTGTGTGTGTGTGTGTGTGTGTGTGTGTGTGTGTGTGTGTGTGTGTGTGTGTGTGTGTGTGTGTGTGTGTGTTTGTGTGTGTGTGAGTGTGTATGTGTGTGTGTGAGTGTGTGTGCGTGCATGTGTGTGTGTGTTGAGTGTTTAAACTATATAAAATAAAAACAAACAAAAATAAATTAGTCATAAAAACACCCTGTTGTCCTAAATAAATTAAATTAACATGAAATCATTTTAGGATAACTTACTTTTCTTGTCTACATTTTCTATGTTCTCGACGCTTTCGTTCCTTTTCAATCATAGTTTTATCATGCACAGAATGTGTCAAAAAGGTGACTACAGATTAAGCACACGGTTTTTTTTTTATTTTGCTCAGATCCATCACTTTTTTATTCTGTTTTTGATATCTTCATTGTCACAATGGCTAAATACAAACTGTAAAAATATCAATTACCACGCCTGATCATTGAATCAGCAAGATACCGCTGAATCGACACGCTTTGCGTTACGTTACTAAAAGAAACAGGTCCATATTGGAAAAGCCTTAACCACAAACACCGAAAAATTTGTTGGCGGTTTAAAAATTATCTCTAACCAATATTTCATCGTTGTGTTTAAATAAAACACCGATTTTATAAGCACAAACGACAGACACAAAGTGAAAGGCGGAGCGGCTCGAAAACTTTGGTGACGAACCTGCCAAGCATGGGAAAATTAATTCACTCGCGCGAGCACCACAGAATCAAAATAACCATCCTCGCCTACAAACAGATTGCCGAACGAGTGTAAATTCTTTCTACCAAGTGACCCTGCAGCTCGACTCAGAACTGACAGCAGTAGAAGGAAAGAAGGATAAACTGAAAGGCAGCCGAACAATTTTCTCTAGCGAGGGAGAACCAGATTGAATGCGTAAAATCCGAATGCTAACGATTTAAATAGCCGAGTCAGATAGTTTTTGGCTCACTGATTTAAATCAGTTGAATTGGCCACAGCAGTTTTAAGTTATTTGCGTGACGCTTATGTTTATGTGTTACAGTATAACAGTTTTCTCGATATTAATAGCGATTTAAATGTATGTTTAAAGCTAGAAAATAAAAAGTGATTCTTCCTGCAAAATTCTCATTAGGCTCACTCAGCAGAATACAATCGTAAAAGGCTCAGCATGGGAAAAATAATAAGAAAAGAATCATCCACACTACTACCCTCAGAATCATTCACGTTACGCTCAGCTGTCTGTTTTGCTCAATTCTGCATTCATCGAAGAAAATAAAAGCAATGCGAATACGAACGAAATCAGTGCGACTCGCACAAGCTACTGTTCGTTTTTGATGTTGTATGCGTGTGAGTGAGTTGAGAATGCAAAATAGAACGATTTTTCCCATGCTTGGAACCTGCTATTGCAATTTTTCAGTGTACCACATGGCAACACAACGGGTGGAAACTAACGATTTTAAATTGGCTCACTACTTGACTATTGGTCCCAAGCAAATCGATTAACGTATCCCATTTTAGCCGAAATTCTAGTACTGCACAATGTTTGTTTTGATTTGCTATGAATGTTTGACAGATAAAATGATGAGTTTGTGGATTTTCCTATGTTTCGAGAGGTGCATCGATTAGCTTGGGACCGAAGAGAGTACCAAAGCTGAGCCAAAAAGTTGAGCACGTTTCTTCGGGACCTTGTGGTCTTAGAATTACCTCTATTTAAATTTGGATTGGAGTATTTAAATAGTAATAGTTTGTAGTGCATATAAATGGTTTGAAAGCTATTTGTCTGACAGAACTCAACGGACTGTTTTTAATGATTCTGTTTCCAGCCCCGTGGGGAATAACCTTGGAGTGCCCCAGGGAAGTGTATTAGCAACAATCAATACGAAACTAACGATTTTAAATTGGCTCACTACTTGACTAGCCTTTTGGCAAAGATATTTCATTAACAAGATATCCCACAAATCAATTCCTCGAACAAGGCAATGGATACACCACCCTTATGTGATCGCAGTGCCATCTCGTGAGTGCACATTTAAACTGTTGGGAGTCCCCCGCCAACTTTACCACCAGGGCTCAATAAATGACAGGTGTCAGTATGACATATGCCAGCGTGGACGTTGATGATCAGCCGATGGAAGAGGATGATCGATGTCATCATCATTATATAGTCCATTTTATGAAATGACAGGAGTTGGTTTGCCTGCAAGAATTTGATGATATTGATATTGCTTCTCACAGCCGTTAGGTAATCGCCTCCTGTCAAAGTTCATTCATGAGTTGAACCAGAAACTTCTCATAAAATGCTCTATTGTGATAGCAAGATTCTCACTTCGTTATGATTGCATCCATTTTCAATCGTTACCACGTTATACGCATCAGAAAACCTTGAGAAAACAATAATAAATGCAGATACGTCCCATCGAAAAAGTAATCGAGAATTGATGATTTATGAAGCTGTTGCTCAACATAATAGAAGTTGCATAGAAGTATACATGGAAAAAACGCAACGTATCGAAATCATTGCTAAACAAACGTAATAAAATATGCCGTCTTCCTTGGCCAACGCTGCACGATATTGGCTATTCAAAAATTACGTTGGAATAATGATTACTTTTCTATTTTATAAAGAAGGTATTTTTCAATGACGGCGAATTAAATCGTAAACTAAAGCTGCCGAAGCTGAGTGATGACGATGTACCCTCCGCTCAGTGGTGTGGGTTCGTACATGTATAGATGATGGTGTGCGTGTTTTCTTCCAACGCTGCAGTTCAACGTTGTATCATCAAAGACCTATTGGCGCTGTTATCTGTCTCTATAAATTCCAAAGAGTGAAGGGGGTCGGCTTTTGGTCCCAAGCAAACGATTAACGTACCCCATTCTAGTCGAAATTCTAGTACTACGCAATGTTTGTTTTGATTTGCTATGAAAGTTTAACAGATAAAATGAGGGGTTATTGGTTTTTCCTATGTTTCGAGGGGTGAATCGATTAGCTTGGGACCGAAGAGAGTACCAGAGCTGAGCCAAAAAGTTAAGAACGTTATTTCGGGACCTTCTAGTCTTAGAATTACCTCTATGGTATTAGCATAGAGGTAACTCTAAGACCACTGGGTCCCGAAGAAAATCATTATTATTTTTGGCTCACTCAGTACCAGAACAACGGTCCCAAGCAGTCCCAAGCTATTTCACTCACCCCTGCATGTTCTGCATGAATCCACACACCCCTGATGTTATCTGTCAAACTTTCATAGCGAATCAAAACAAACATAGTGTAGTAATAGAATTTCAACTAGAATAGGGTACGTTAATCGTTTGCTTGGGACCAATAGGCGACTAAAGTGGTGATCCAATTTAAAATCGTTAGTTTCGTATTGATTGTTGGTATTAGGGCCCTTGTTATTTATTATGTATATTAATGACTTGCGACGTGTTTTACGATTTTGCGACATTAATCTTTTTGCAGACGATACTGTGTTATTCATTGCAGCTAAGGATTTGGATGATGCCGTTTTACACTTGAATGAAGATTTGCGTTCTCTAAGTAGATGGTTGAAGTATAAGCAGTTGAAATTGAATGCAAGTAAAACTAAATTTATGGTAATTTCGCGGAATCGAGTAAATGAGAACGTCTCTGTTGTAATTCATGATAAGACTATTGATCGCGTTAGGGAGATTAAATATCTTGGTGTGATTATTGATGACACACTTAAGTTCAACTCTCACATTGACAATGTCGACTGAAAAACGATTTAACTATTGCCAGTAAAATACAGCTATACAAATCAATCATCTCTCCTAATCTTGACCTTCCATTTTATTTCTACATCGAGATTACAGCGCTTGCAGAATAAAATAATGCGTTTGATTTTGAGATGTAATAGATTCACTTCCTCAACTTTGATGCTAGACGCCTTATGGTTGTCGGTGAAGCAAAGAATTGTATATTTGACTATGGTGTTCATTTTTAAAGTAGGGTTACGGTATGTAATGTGGGTCTAGTCCTTTCATTCGGCCTATCACGCAAATAAATAATTAATTAAGGAATATTACACAAAAAATAAGGAAAATATTGATCACTGATGGTTGATAAATGTGTACCACACACAAATCAATTTATATCACAACATTTCAATACATTTTCAGCTCTCGTAAGTAATAAAACTGGTTGAGAATATCACAATGTTCGGAGTTTTTAGCCGCCATGACTTATAAGGTTAAGATGGGAAGGTTGACTGACGATCATCAAATGGCCTGATTATGGCATTTATTGATTGGAATTACCTGATAATACACACTAGACGTAAAACTTACAGTTGCTGTTTGAATATTTTATGTTTATTTTAATTGTTTAACAACGTTTTCACAAGTAAAACATGGACCCAACTTTAGGGACACATTTCTTTTCTATGTTCCTAACTATGGCCCATGAAATTCATTTGACAGCATATAGCAATAAGAGTAACGTCAACAATGTTGTTTTGCATTTGGATGATAAGGAACGAACAGGAAGGGAGATTTTTTCTGCCAAACCTGTATAATGAACATCACAATGTTCTGATTTAGATATTCTGCGGTCAAAAGACGATAAGCGAAATTTTTAATTTTTAATTTTTAAATTGAGTGATTTAATGTAGTTTTCGTAAAATTTTCTCTAAGAAATGTTTTGAGGAATGAAGAGCATTAAGTTAACAGTGATAGTGATAAAAAAAAATACATCAGAAAACGTTACCAAGAGCGTTTTTTTGAGGATCAAACAAGATAGGACGAAGTTGCATCCATAAATAGACCCAATTTGGGGACAATAGACCCATATTACATACATTTCCCTCGTGAGTTATTGTCTTAAAAAAAGTAAGTTTTTCAACTTTTCGTGGTTTCTGATAGCAAACGACATGATAAGCATATCTAAGCATACCATTTAGCAGTAGAATATCGTTTGCAGGTAAATTCATTGATGAGTTATGATTAAAAACGTAATCGATGGCTGCATATTAGACCGAGGTTAGGGACGTATACCCTAGTTAACGGTTTGCTGTCTCGATATTTGTGTGATCGAATTGAAAGGGGAGTCACTTCATAGATATAATACTAGAAACGCGGTTGAAATAAGAAAACCACATTTCTTGACTTGTGCTTCACAAAATTCATTATATTATAAAGGAATAAATGTTTTCAATTCGATTTCTAGACATATCAAACGTTCAGCAACACTTACAGAATTTAAAAGACACTGCATTTCACACGTTAAAACTGTCTTTTGAACAGTTATCCAGTGATTTTTTATGAATTGACAAATTATGTATCTTGACGAAG